AAGTGAAAATTGCAAAAATAGTTTCTACTTTTTCTGTTGTTAATTTATGAAGAATTGAAGGTAGTTTATTTCAGTGAAAATAAAACCGCACTTTTCTCAGTAATGACACCTAAAAGCCTCAGGTTTACAACAGTTCTAACAAAATACACTTGATCTGTAAATGAAGAAGAGGGTTAGCTTCTCTGCATTGCTCTTCCAGTTGTGGTTCTGGAGGCAGATACCACCCACCTAGAGCCGTAGGATCTGTCCTTAACGGTTTGCTGCCCATGGTGGTACTGTTGGTCTCTGTAAATGTTTATAAAGGAGTTCGGTTAACCGACCTGCTCTATTTGAAAAGTGTCCTGAGATAACTTCTGTTATGAATTGGGCGCTATACAAATAAAACTGAATTGAATTGCATTGCGGCTCCCTGTAAAATTTAGAATAGAATTTAAATCCTCCTCCTCACCTACAAGCTCTTCATGGTCAGGCAGGCCCCTTCATCATCTTGAAGAGCTCATAGTACCTATTACCCCTCTAGGAACACTGCGTTCCTTCGGTTAATGCAGGGCTACTTGTTGGTTCCTATGTCTCTAAAAGTAAACAGGAAGCACTTCCAGTTAACCAAGCTCCTCTCCTGTGGAACGCAGCCTATCCAGATTTGGTTCTGAAGCAGACACCCTCCTCCCACATTTAAATAGGCTTAAAAAACGTTTCCTCTTTTGATAAAGCTTAATAGTTAGGGCTGGAATAGGTGAGTCCTGATTAGTTGTGTGCCTAATAGGCCCTAAGACTTATCGGGGGATTATCCCATGGTGCACTGAGCGCCTCTCTCTCTCTCCTCTCGTCTTATCTCTCCTCTCTCTCTCTCTCTCTCTCTCTCGTCTCTCTCTCTCTCTCCGTCTCTCTCTCTCTCTCTCCTCTCTCATCTCGTCTTTCAGACTCTCTCTCTCCTGTCCGAGGGTTATCTGCCATCTTTCCCAAATTAATGTTTATTTGGCCGCCTGTCTTGATGATTGGTCTCTGTAAATAAAATGCTATTCAGGAGTACGTCCTAGACCAGGGGCGGCTGTGGCGCAGATGGCAGAGCGGCGTCCCCCTAATCGAAGGGTGTTGG